CTGCAGTAATAATCAGCCTCGTCCTCAGCCTGGAGCCCAGAGATGGTCAGGGAGGCCGTGTTGCCAGACTTGGAGCCAGAGAAGCGATTAGGGACTCCTGAGGGCCGACTGCTGACATCATAAATCATGAGTCTGGGGGCTGTGCCTGGGTGCTGCTGGTACCAGGAGACATAGTTATAACCCCCAACATCACTGCTGGTTCCAGTGCAGGAGATGGTGACCGACTGTCCAGGAGACCCGGACACTGAGCGAGGCTGAGTCAGGACAGACTGAGCCCAGGACCCTGGAAAGAGGAAGAAACACACTCTAGTGAGTCAGTGCTGGGCCCAGGTGAGCCTGAGGAGCAGGAGACCAAGGATCGGCCCAGAGGTCCCTGGGGTCCCTTCCCTGGAGGTGTCACCTGTGCCCTGAGTGAGGAGAATGAGGAGGAGCAGATTCCAGGCCATAGTGGAGAAGTCCCGAGAGCGCTGCCTCCTGAGACCACAGCACTGGGCCTGCCCCCAGCCCTGTCTTATCTCCTCTGCCTCAGAGAGGGCGGGGCCTCCACGCAAATCTGGGTCGTGAGCTCCATGCCTGACCCCACCCTCACCTGGGTCTGGGCTCAAAGATTTCTGTTTCCCTAGACAGTGCAGCTCAGCTGAAAAGATGAAAGTCTTTGTTTGTCTATTCTGATGGCAAGTACCTAATTTTTTTGTACCTGATTTTCTCAGGAGAGAAAGATCTGCGGAAGCCCCTCACCTGAGTGAGCTCCTGGCCCTCCGTGTCTCTGCTGTGTGGTGTCTGTGTCTCTGTGACTCCCAGGCCTGGTCACATTCTGCAGTGCCCTCTGTTGGGTACCCACCTGCAGGCTGTCTCTACTGCCAGGAATGGGGCTACCCACCCCGTGGAACTCTCTGCTGGGTTTCTTTGGTCTCTGGTCTCCCCAGCTGCAGCCTGGTCCATCCCCACCCCCACCCAATGCTCTGTGCTGAAGCATCTGCAGCACCGAATCCCTGGAGCACGTCAGCCACCCCAGAAAATGCACCCACACCCACACGGGGAAATGTGATGGGGACCCTGTGGAGGGAACAGGGAGCCCCGACAGGGCCACAGCCCTGAGCCGGAATCTGCTGCTCCCAATCCTGCCCTTCCCACTCACGAGCAGGCGACTCGTCCTTCCCACCCTCTGGTTCTTAGCCTGAGAAATGGGGACCACAGAGTCCACTCTGCACACGGGTGATCCATGGGGATATGACCCAGCAGGACAAAGGGAGTTTGCCAAGAGACCTTTCTGTGTGCACCACAGTGATATATACTGTGAATGATTTATTGAAAGATTTATTTCGATTTTGCTGTGATTGACGTGTCAGGTCACAGAGATGCGTGTTTCCTGCTTTCTTGCTTTCCCCCGTCTGAGCACATCGTCAGGGCAAACTAAAGCTGACCGCTCTCAACCCTGAACGCTGAAGACACACAGACATTTGATAAATACATTTTTGGTTTCTTCCTCAAAATACTCTTAATCTCTTTTCATGTTTCCCCAATGCCTATGAAAATTTTTTTAATGTTGCATAATTAAAATAAATATGAATGGGTTGAGATTTAATTTAAATATTATAACATACACTATGCTGTCTTCCCGCCTGGATTCATCTCTGAAACCATGGCAAGTGCATGGAGCAGCTGTCTGAGCACCAGGAAAGGAAATCGCCGTACGCAGCAGTTTGGGATGGCACCAGCAGATGAACTTCAACAGAGTCAGGGTGAGCCTCCTGGATTTCCTCCGTGTCCCCTGGCTGGGATTCCAGACAGCCCCAAACATGAAGGGGCACAAACCTGAAAACAAAAAGAAGTCCAGAAAGCCCTCTTGTTCAGGATTGAAGAGAGGAAAGGAAACTTCTTTGGCTCAAAGTGAAGGCTCAGTCCCCTGCACAAGCAGTGGTTCACCACTGTGTTCTCATCTCTCTTACACCAGCGCCTCTCCCTGGGTTCACACTGATGTCCTGTGGGTGCACATGGGGCTTCCTGCCCAGGTCACTCCACAGCCCCTGTACCCTGAAGCAGGAGAGAACCAGCACTGTTCAGTCCCAATACGATGTGAGCCTCATGGGAATCTCAATGTCTGGTCACCGCATTAGAAATACAAAGAAGTAAATGAGTTTAAGTAATATGTTTTATTTATCTAGCATATCAAAAATAGTATCACTTTCATACATAATCGAAGGACAATTATTTATGAGACATTTCGTATACTTTTCATGGCTATTGTTATTATTTTGTGAATCATTTTTAGACATTGTGTGGCTGATGGAGATGACAATGGGTTTCCTGTTGACAAGGATGGATCCTGGTAGCTTTTTAAGTGTCAAATTTGATAGGCTGAAGGAGGGGTAAAAAGAATGATTTTTTGCACAGGACGTGGAGGGTAGAGGTGGGCAGTGCCCATTCTGCAGCTCACTCTGTAGGTGCATCTGTGGTCCCTGTGTGGGGTGAGACTGCTCCTCATGCCCCGGGTTTCCCTTCAGGGAGATCTGACTCCAACTCCCCCTTAGATCCCAGAGCACCTGGCAAGTCAGACTCATTTTCATTCCACATAGATGCAAGAAAAACTCAGATCTCACTGGGCATTTGATACCCACAATGCTAATTTAGGAATAAACTGGTGCTTTCCAGTGCACAGAGGCCTCCTCAGGTCCCGCATGGCTCATGTTGGGGATGGCTGCTTATCTTCATTCGCCTTCCCTGGAGGCAGACTCTGAGATGGAGAATTGCAGGCACAGAGGATGTGAAAGGAGGTGAGGGAGGAACACTGGCCAGAAGGAGACTCTGACCCACATTGAGGCCTCTGTCAACCCTACAGGGACCTGTGGAGCTGGGAGGATTTTCAGGCCCTTCTATATTGAGGCAGAGTCTTGAGCCTGAGCTGGGCAGTTCTGAGGCCTGATCCAAGATACTCAGGCCAAGGACTGGCTTCCCATGACCTGTGGAAATCCAGAGACCAACTGATGGATGTCCACCTCGGTCTGATGATCCAAATCAGGTCCCATTTCCATAAATCACAACTGAGTCCCCAAACGCCAATACATCCTGGTCACCCAAGTCCGAAATCCACTCTTGATGCCACCTCTGCAGAACCTGCCTGGAGGGCTCAGATCCGGGGGTCTCAGATCCAGGTGAGCTGGGCCAGCCCTGCTCATGACGTTGCCCACTGTCTTCCTGGCTGGAGGAAATGTCCCATGCTGGTCATTTTATCTAAATGATGTATGTGTCATTAGCACACCTGTTAAATATTTCAGTGAGAATGGTTGAGTCACGTAAGGAACCACTCACACATGTGGAGTCATCAGGACGTCTGCTCTCATTTCACCCATGGCACTGATCCTTCTAGGCCATCCCCATCCCAACTGCAGACCAGCCATGGCCATCCTCAGCTCTGCCACTGTTTATTTATTTTTCCCGTCCGTATTTTATGTAAACTCGTAAAAAAGCACCAGAAAAACACCAGGTTTCTGAGTCCAGTGTGGTTTTCTTGTGCATTTTACAAATTTACATGAAATACTGATGGAAAATCCACTTTAAGCCTCATGGCCTCTGTGAGCACCCCAGGGACACAGCGTTTGCACAGGGCATGGGCTCTGCGGGGTGGGTGGGCCCTGGTCCCTGCAATGAAATGTATCCTGTCACTGAGCCAAAGACCACCTGGTGGCCAGAGCTGTGGCCTGAGGCAGGACAGAATCCCCTTCCCGGTGGAGAGCATCTGCTCAAGGAGGCTGGGGATGCCCCATCCAGGAACCAGGACCATGAATGCACCACCCCACCCATCTGAGACTCCCCTGAGCACAGGAGCTGACCCTGAGCCAGAGTCTGCCTGGAGTTGGAAGGAAAGTCAGAGGGAGAAGAGATGTGGGGTCTCTGGAAGTGCCCAGGACTGAGGGTTCCGGTCCCCAGAATGCTGCTGGACAGAGAGGGACAAGACCCTGAGAGTGACAGGAGGCTCAGGCAGCCATTCTGGGTGAAGAACTCTGGCGGGAGCCCTGCCCCTCACACTGTGCCCACCTCCTAGTGCACCATGACCTCGGGGGTGTCTCACAGAAAATCCCAGCCCTGTGGGAACTGCCCATGTTGGCACCACTGCCCAGCACCTGCAGCTGCATTTCCCAGGTGAGGCCCTCACTGTGTCCAGGCTCCTGTCAGTGACCTGGGTGACTGTGTGAGTCTGACCCTCAGGACGGGGTTCCTGCAGCCCGAGGGGATACAAGGCACCTTACTGGACTTCCAAACTCAGGACCGATCGTTCGACACCACTTGAGCCTTCAGGGCTGGCCTCCCTCTTAGCCTCCCCCGGGCAGACCCAGCCTCTTCCGTCTGCAGTTCTGCTGCCCCCTGCTGGTGAGGAAGATGGAGCCCAGGAGCTTCCCTCCTCTAGGTGACCCCAGAATGCCTGTCACCTGGGAGGGCAGGGATCATGGAGTTAGGCTTCATTCTGTGCCACATGTGAACCCCTCTGGCTCCACACAGAGAGGTGGCATATATGGTTGTGAGGAGGTGGGGCAGGTGCAATTCAGAGTGGAGTAAGATGCGATTTCTTGAAACTCCCTGCAATGACTTCCGTGAAGAGGGGTCTGCACACTGTCGGAGATGGGGATGCGTTTAGGGTGAGGACATCCCTAAAAACAGCAGTGATGGCACCTGTCAGGCATCTTCTTCTGAGGAAGTGCCTGCATTTGAAGATCTGGGAATTGTTGCACGTGCAAGGACCACAACATACACACAAGCGAAAGGAAGCTGTCCCTGTCCTGGATGAGAAATCACAGAGCAGGTTTCCTTTTGAACTTCGTGGTGAGAAAGGAGAGGAGCTGAGAGAGAGGAATTCTCAAGGCCGTGCTGCCGGAAGCCCCTTGAACAGGGTGAGGAAGCATCTTCAGAGCAAGGGAGAGCCAGAGAGCCAGGGGGAATTTTGTGTCTCAATTCCCCATGAACTTGGACCACTGTGGGAAATGCCACCTCTCCTATATGAGCTGCTGTAATAACCAGCCTCGTCCTCAGCCTGGAGCCCAGAGATGGTCATGAAGCCTGTGTTTCCAGACCTGGAGCCAGAGAAGCCACAGGGACCCCTGAGACCTGAATACTGACACCGTAAATCATGGGTCTCAGAACTGTGTCACCTGTTGTTTTGGGGCCAAGAGCAGAAAGTCTCTGCAGCAGGTGCAGGCAGGGGTGTGAGTGTCCTGCTGTTGGGCCACAGAAACTAGCAGACTCCACCATAACAGGGGATTGGGCACAGGAACTGAAACCTTGTGCTTAAGGCAAAGCTTCAGAGGAGAATCCTACTGTAGACCCATGGGATTAGCAACAAGTGTATGTCATGTGTAGTAGAGAATTGTTTACATTTTGAAAACAACTCCTTCTGTATTTATAGGCTTTGTTACATCCAGAACCACATGGGACAGCAGTGACCACACAGCCAGACCTGTGAGATCCCCCCAGTCATGAGCTCAGGCAGGGCACGAAATGACGCACAGTGAGACAGATGTGGCTCTCGTAGGATGGAGCCGGAGCGGGGCCCAAGGGCACTGTCTTACCCACAAGCAGGTTCTCCTCCCTATTGTCCCAGCGCCTCTTCCTGGGTTCACACTTACATCGTCTGGTGGAGATGGGCTTCCTACACGAGGGTACTCAAAAGCATCTGTCACCTGTAAGAGTCCTGACCAGCCCTGTCCAATAACGGTGTGACACGATCCTCCTGTGACCCCTAGTGTCTAATCGCTACATTAAAAATGAAAAGGTAAGACAAGGAAATTTGAATAAATAGTAGATTTCATTTAAGTCAATAAAGCAGAATCCTATCATTTTTACATGTTATCAGCATGAAATTATGAGATATATTACGTAGATTTTCATGTCTGTTGTTATTGTTATTTTCCAGGAGATTAATTATTTGCGGGCCGTGTAGTTGATGGGAGGGGAATGGGTTTTCTGCTGACCAGGGTGGCCTGCAGTGGCTTTTGATATGACAAGTGACCTGTGTTTTACATAGTTCATCATATCTTCATCTCTGGTTGGGGTTGTAGAAAGGAGTGACATTTGCAGAAGAGGTGGAGGGTGGCGGTGGGCAGCGTCCATCCTGCAGCTCACCCTGTGGGTGCATCTGTGGTCTCTGGGTGGGATGAGGCTGCTCCACCTGCCCCGGGATTCTCTGCGTGGAGATCTGACTCCAACTCTCCCTCAGCCCAGAGCACCTGGCATGTCAGGCTCCCTTTTCATTCCATAAAATTCAAGGAACCGGGCCGGGCACGGTGGCTCACGCCTGTAATCCCAGTACTTTGGGATGTCGAGGCGGATGGATCACAAGGTCAAGGGATCGAGACCCTTCTGGTCAACATGGTGAAACCCCGTCTCTACTAAAAATACAAAAAATGAGCTGGTCATAGTGGCACGTGCCTGTAATCCCAGCTACTCAGGAGGCTGAGGCAGGAGAATTCCCTCAACCCAGGAAGCGGAGGTTGCGGTGAGCCGAAATCGCGCCATTGCACTCCAGCCTGGGTAACAAGAGCCAAACTCCGTCTCCAAAAATAAAATAAAATAAAATAAATTCAAGGAACCGTCAGGTTGAGCATTTCAACATTTACTCTGAAAATTTCAGACAGAAATTAGAGTTCTCAGTGTATCGTGGCACCTCGTGTCCCTGATGGCCCAAGTTGGGAACTCCTGGCCATCTTAGATGGGGCTCACTGGAATCCGACTCTGGATTGGAGATTTCCAGACTCATGAGAGGGTTGCTGCCGAGGCCTCAGGCGTCCACACAGCGAGCTCCGGAGCTGGGAGCCCCTTCATTCAGTGGCATCTTAATTGAGGCAGTGACTTGAGATCTTGGTTCATTAAACTGAACTCCTGTGAGAAGGGACATCACCTTGAGGAAGCTTTCTGCAGCCAAGAGCCCTTCCCAGTGAGGGCACAGCTCTGAGCTGCTGGGTTCTCAGCGGTGCTAGGTGGTCACATTGAAGAGGGGATCTGGGCAGACTTCACAGTGTCCCCTCCTCTGGTTTGCTCTGTTGGGAGTCACAGGCCGCCATGCAGCCTGGGGCCCAGGACCTCTGCAGGGATGGGCAGCAGTTCTGGGGCCTGACCCTGACAGGTGGTCTAAGGACTGGCCCCATCCCCACCACATGACCACCCAGGGGCAGGACAGTGGACAGAGGTTGCATCTGTCTGTCTTTCCATCCCGGCCCTCACTCTGTAAATCACACAGCAGCCCCAAGTCACCAGATGACTCTGGTCCTTCCAAGTCATGTCTATGCCTGATGCGTGCATAGGGCATGTAGAGACTCCTGGAGGGTGCTGGAGGTAAGGGCAGCCTGGGGGCTCAGATCCAGACTCCTGGAGGGGGCTGGAGGGAAGGGCAGCCTGGGGGCTCAGACCCAGACTCCTGGAGGGGGCTGGAGGGAAGGGCAGCCTGGGGGCTCAGATCCAGGTGAACTGACCCAGATTCACTCATGGTTTTATCCACAGGCCTCCCGAGGCTGGAGTAGAGGGTGACAGAGGCTGGGAGGGTGTTTTTGTCTCACTTCCCCATCTGCCTGGGTCACTGTGGGATGTTTACCACTACCGTCCCACACCTCACAGTAATAGTCAGCCTCATCCCCGGCCTCGACCCCGCTGATGGTCAGGGTGGCGGTGTTCCCAGAGTTGGAGCCAGAGAATCGCTCAGGGATCCCTGAGGGCCTGTTGCTATTCCTATAGATGACCAGCACTGGGGCCTGGCCTGATTTCTGCTGGTACCAGTGCACATATTCACTTCCAATGTTGTTTCCCCCACAGGTAATACTGGCCGTCTGTCCTGGGGCCACTGACACCGAGTGTGGCTGAGTCAGCTCATAGGAGGTCGCAGAGCCTGCAAAGATAAAGAGAATAAAAAGATAGATTTGCTGCAGGTGAAAGACCCTTTGTATTAAATCCCCTGCTCTCCTGGCCCGGGACAAGCTCCAGAGAGTCTGTGAACACTTAGGGTATCCCCTGCAATGCACCCCAGTCCCAGTGGCCCATGGACTTTCCTGTTGCATGGAGGCTTTGACCTGAAAACCCACTCCTCTCTCCTGGCAGGGGCAGCCCCTCAGGCTCTCACAAGCCTTTGAGCAGAGTGTGGGGGACTTCAGCCCCGCCAGCCCCTCCCCCTGCAGCAGGTCATGAGCATCCTGCCCACCACAGGCAGGGCCCTGCTGAGCTCAGACTCAAGGCCACGCTGGAACCAGAGCCCTGCGGCTGCGCAGGTTGGTGAGACCCCGGGGACAGCACCTGTGCAGTGAGCGAGGAGGCCGAGGAGGAGAGGGGTCCAGGCCATGGCTGAGGCTCCCCCGATGCTGCTTCCTGAGGCCCAGGCTGGGCAGGTTCCTCCCAGGCCTCTCTTATCCCCTTGCTGAGAGAGCGGCCCGTGATGCAAATCAGCAGAGTCAGGGGCAGCTGCTGGAGGAGCTCTGTGGTTTCAGAGAAGGGCTCAGCCCTAAGGGACACAGATAGAGAAGGGGTGACCCCTCCTTACCGACCTCTTCCACCCATGGAAAAATTCAGAGATGAATTTCTCTGTATTCTCCAGGGGATATAAAGTTGGTCCTATGGGATGGTGGTTGGCCCTGTTCAAGAGGTTGCAAGAGTCACCATGGTGAGGGACAAGTTACCTGGGGTCCACGGTCCTTTCCTCCATTTCATCCTGCCTCAGGAGGCAGGTGGTTAACTTGTTTCTGCTTCTCTAGTAATATCCTGATCATCAATATTTTATGTCAGACATGAGATGTCTGGTATGGGCTTAAAGTCATTTTGAAGACACATTCCAGAGCCCAGCGCAGGGACCCTCTTTATCCCCACTCTTCAGCACAAGCTTTGAACAGGTGCAGGTCCCACCCGAGGGCGCAGCTCCTCACTGCCAGGGGAGAATGAAATTCCTCGGTTACAAGCGGAGTTTTGGAAGATCCATGGGATGCGGTAGGTTTCTACCTTGGCTCTGAGTTCTAGTGCCGGGTCATAGGTGCTGTGCCTCAGTATCCCCAGGGTGCTTTCAGGACAGGGACAAATCAGTAGGTAAAGGAAACATTTGCTTCATGAGAGAATGAGAGGAGGCTGCAAACTCTAAGACCCCGGAAGTGAATGTTTATTGTAACTAAGTTGTCTTCAGGTGCTGGGAAAATGTATCAATAGAAGAAAACTGAAGTCAACAGAAGATTAATGAGCAAGTATTTTATGCCACATGAGGAAATCAAGAGCTGTGATTTGGCAGGATCCCAGGACAGTTTCGGGAATGCGGAGGAGTGGTGGGGAAGGAGAATCTGCTGTGTCTGCAGGACGGGGACTCCCAGAGCAAAGGACAGGGAGGTGGGACACGTGTGACTGCAGAATGGGATGGCACGTGTGACCGTGGGATGGGGGCCACGGCGATGGGAAGAGGCAAAGTGCCTGAATCTGTGCCACAAAAATAAGCACCATGTCCAAGAGACAGATCTGAGAACCAGGACGTCAGAAAAATGTAAACATCAGTGTCAAGGACAAACACACTAAGAAAAGAAGAATCTATTTCCTTCCAGGTCTCAGGTCGTGGTCACTAACCCTCCCTGCATCTCAGTGTCCGCCTGATACCCAGACCCTCCCTATCCCCAGGTGTTTTTCTCAGGTTACTCTCTGCTGTCATCTGGTGGCCCTTCTACACTGGCAGCTGGAGGCTCAGAGGCATCCTGGGTCCAGGTTAGCTTCAGAATCTGCGGCTCAGGTTCCTGATTCCCTGATTGATGGATTGCTGACCTCAGGGAGAAATTCCTCTTCTCTGTGTGGCCCCTTCCTGCTTCAAGACCCAGCACAAGCCACTCAGATTCCTGATGGAAATACAAACACTCCCATGTGCAGGACGAGGTGACAGGACCCTCCTGAGGCTCCCTACATGTATCTCTGGGTGTGGCTTGGTGCTGAGAGGTACAGGACTCAGGGGTGACTTTGACTGGTTCTGGATACAAATACAAGACCAATGTGTGTTGCTGGTGACTCCTGAAAGACATCAGAGACAGAAGCTCATTCACCCAACAAATATTCACCCTGACCCACTCTGTCCCGGCCAGAATGCATTTTAGGAATTCAGCATGAGGAAGACATCATCTTTGCTCTGAGGGGTTTTGTCTCCTGTTTCTGAGTCAGTGCCGTGGGCACCCTGGTTTACAGACCAGGAGACACACCCTACCACCTTCTACCTGTGCGTCATCCCCTCTATTCACTTGAAAGCCAGGCAAATTCCCAGTTTCTCCCAGCCAGCAATGACCATGTAGCCCAGCTTTGGTCCATGATATGTAAGAGTCAGGTGGCTGAGGTTCTTCTCAGGGAACTTTTCCTCTTGTGAAGGAAGGACACTATTGGATTTGTGGTTTGCTTTTTCTCTTGAACATGGTGTGATAGCCGGAGTTGCAGCAGCCAAGCTGAGGTCTTACATCAACAACAATGAAAGCAAAGTCAGCACTGCATTGACGGGAATGGAAAGTTAGAAATATCTGAGGTTCCTATTAAACTGCTGCACATCTGGAAAATGACCACCAAATACGCGCAGACTTCTTTTTGTGGGAGAAGATTGGATGCTCCCTGGTTCCTGCCACATGCGTCCTTGTAGTGAAAAACCACTTCTGACGGATAATGCAATGATTCATAGAAATAAAGCAATCAAAAGATAATGATAGAAAAAATAAACATGGAATTGTAGGCTCTATGCAGATAATCCTGGCAAGTTTCAACAGAAGCTGAGTGGTCGGATGCTGTAGATTCAGTGGTTGGAGAAGCCTCCCTGAAGAGGAGTCTGTGGAGCTCCTTTGAGGAAGGAGTGAAGAAATACGTGATGGAAATGCGTGCAGGGAGCTATGTCTGTGCCCTGCAGGGAAGGGTCTTGGGTGTGTGAGGATCTCAAGTGACTGTGGGAAGCCTGCAGGGGATCTGGGATGGAAGCCAGTTCAGGTCAGATGTGACATTTGCTCACAAGTGGAGAATTTGGGACAGGAATGATGTGTAGTGTTTGAAATTCACAGGTAATAAATTAGATGATCTGGGGCAGCATAGGAAACAAAATCACTTGTGACCAGGAAGATGCTCCTGTGATGGGGACAGGTGTGGCTCACATGGGTCCAGCCCAGGTCCCAGCCCCTCCCTGGTTCACCTGGCCCAGAAGACAGCCAGGGGAGTGTTTCCCAGTCCCTCCCCTCTACCTGATACCCACCATGCAGCCCTTAGGGACCCACCCTGCTGCCTGTGTGTCTGTCTGGTCCTGGGCCAGCTTTCTGGGGCCCCATGTGGTGACCCAGCACTGCTTTCCCTCAAGTTCTAGAGATTTGCTAACGCAGGAGAAGAGAATTCAGGGAGTGCACATGACAGGGAAAGGAAGGGCCTGTGAGATGGAGTGACAATCTCAAGGTCACTGGGGAAGGAAGATGAAGAGCAGGACCAGGGAAGTCCTAGACACATAATGAAGCTCACCGCTTAATGTCCTGGAACCAGCCTGGGCTTGGGGAGGGAACGTGAGTAAATCCTGAGCTGAATTTTGAGGCCCTGATGCAAACACCTTCCCCTCGCCAGCTCTTCCAGTTGCCTGTGGGGATGGCTACTTTACTTGGACATGGAGGCAGTCAGGGCCTGGGAGGGCAGCCAGCACCCTGCAATCGTTGGCTGATTGCAGTCCAAAGTAAAAGACTCCAGATTTAATCAAACATCCACCTTTCAATGATCTTTTACCCTGATAAAAATTTTAATAAAATATGTTAGGGTTAGGAATCCCACCATAAAAATTGTCTATCTAAGTTAATGTACCATTATCTCAATTAGTAGGTTGTAACTATATTAATACAATCATATTTCTCGGGGCTTTTTTGAGCAGAGTATCATTTTCTTTTCTATTTTTCCCAGTTCCATGAGGTCTGGGCACAAATACAAGTAATGGCATTGATACAGGAAGCCTCTGCTTTTCCTGATCGATACATCCCACACCTGACACCCTTACCTTCTGCAAGTGTCCTACAGTGAATGATGAAAAACATCAGTTGAAGCAATAGGCAGAGAAATATCACCTATGGTAGGATTTCACCCAAGAGTCACACAAGGTATTTTTTCATGGAGCAAAAACATGACGCTCACATGCAGCTGATCCTGCACAGTTATGGCTAAGTCATTCCAGGTCAGATGTGAGCTGAGAAGTTTTCTTCCACTGACCAAGGCAGCTTTGGTCCTAATCACCCCTGTGAGAAACTCCCTCTTTGCCCCTGGGTCTTCATACTGGGAAGATGCTCTTGCTTTTGGAAATGCAGAGCTAGGGCTGTCATGGGAGAATGAGGAGACCTCATCTGTGGGGTTTGATCTTCCTGGACTCAGGTTCTTATTTTTCTCTGGATGCTAAATTATCAGGGAGAAGAATATGAGAGCAAGGGTCCTTTACCTGCCCCAGGCTGTGCTGAAAAGGGTTTCCTAGTGCAGACCTCCCAGGAGGTCTCCAGGAGCCTGAGACTGGCTGAGTCAGTCCTCACTGAGGCCCAAGCAGCAGGGAAACCTGTGAAGCTTCCCTCTTGTATTGTGGTTTAGCCAAAGATTTAGAAAATCTCATCTGGGCGTGGTGGCTCCCACGCATAATCCTAGCACTTTGGGAGGCTGATATGGGTGGATCACCTGAGATCAAGAGTTCGAGACCAGCCTGGCCAACATGGTGAAATCCCCTCTCGACTAAAAATACACATACAAAAAAATGGCCAGGTGTGGTGGCTGGCACTTGTAATCACAGCTACTCCGAAGGCTGAGGCAGGAGAATTGCTTGAACCTGGGAAGGGCAGGTTGCAGTGAGCCAAGATTGCACCACTGCACTCCAGCCTGGGCAACAATAGCAAAACTCTTGTCTCAAAAAAAAAAAAATGATAAAAAGTTTTTTAAAACGAAAATCGAAGGGTAAACCAAAGATGATGTTTGCACTTCAACCCCAGCTTCTGTGAAATCTCAGCACATGAGAGGGTATGCTTCATCCAGGAACTCAGATGAGATGCTGCCCCAGGGGCCTTTCTGGGCCGTTTTTATTTTCCCAAGGAGCAGAGGAATTTCAACAGGACTGTGCCCTCTGAGAAAGCTCTCTCCTCTCCTGCAGTACTAGTGATAACTTCTGGGGTCCTCGTTTTCAGTTTACTGGACTGTTCTTCACAATGGTTGAATGATCCTGGAAGATGGACCAGATTTGTACAGACCCAGATGGGCAATAGTGGCATTTGTAACATCTGCGCCAGATGGGGATCTCCTGGGACAGAGTGCTGTGGGCGCAGGTGCACAGTGCACCACTGAGACAGATACTGAGGTCTTGTCTATTCCCCTTAGAGAACAGGATGAGAATCCGTGCGCATTCGTGTGGGCTGGACAGCAGTATACATTCACACCTTCTCTGCCCAGCATCGTTAGCTCTCCCTTCC